AAGATTATCACTGAGGGTAAAAAAAAAAAAAAAAAGAGGTCCAGATACCCTTGTAGAAACATGATTTTTACAAAAAGGGAACAGATGTCCTATAGAAACATATCTTACCCCATTAAAGACTGACTCTCTTGACTACTTAAGGCCAAATTAGACATTAAATTTAGTAATGGTACTAGGTAGGGCACATTTTAAATATTTTTAAGGGCTAATGTATATTTAAAAATATGATAGCATTTTTTAATCTTTAAGCCTCCTTTAAATACTCCTGTGCTTTTTGTTTTAAGTAGGTGCCCGTAAGATGTATCATGTGAATGATTTGCCGCAAGCGGTTTCAGTTCAGATTGATGCTATATATAAAATGAAGACATTCGTACTTACTAACTGATGGTACAGAAGCACAGAGGACACTTGAAGGAGCATAAGAATTGCTTTTCCTCCTTAGGACAAATTCACTATGACTGTGAAATATTTTTGCTAGGTCAATATCAAATCTGTATCTCAAATGACACTAAACAACCTACATTCCGAAAACACAGGCTTTGTATCAGGTAGGTTTTATGTGTTCGAGTCACTATTTTTTTCAAAGTTGGACCACCACAAATAAGACTTTTATGGACAAAATTCCTTCGGTGCTCCCCACAAAGCCTGTGAAATGAAATCATACCCCTCAGCTGAGAACTCAGTAGCTAACCCAGCATGGTTCTAATCTAGTTTTTCAACTATGTTTACTTCTATTTCTCTAAAGAAAAGATCTAGAATACATTAGTTTTATTCATTTTCTCTTGCAAATGACGGATGCCTTCCTTTGTGAGAACCCCTCTTAATTTTCCCGACCGCCCCAAGTTTCTTGTAATGTTCTTTCTGTCTTTCATTCTTCCCCACATTTTTCTTTCTCTGTCTCTCCCCTCTACCTTCCCATCAAGCATCATTCACTTCTTTTTGATGAAATATTCTGCACATCAAAAAAGTATAAAAAATAATATAATTGGCACATCACTCATCACAAGTTCTAAGAACTAAAACACTACAAATATCACAGTTGCTCTCTGTTTATCCCTCTGACAGTATTTTGCTCCCTCCCTCCTTCACCCAGAAGCTGCTACTATTGTGAATTTATGTCAGAGCTTGCAGAAAAGACCCAGCCCTGGGTTTGCTCTGGTGTCTTGGATGCTGGGAAATGGAGCCCATAGCCCTGCTATGAAGAACTCCTTCCAGCTGCTGTTGGAAACACAGTCAGTGGAGAACCTTCAGCTTCACTCCTTCATGACATCGCTGGACCTCACATGTCTGCCTTGTGTACGTCATAAGGGCGTGGAAGGTTTAAAGGCCTGGCAATTTCTACTTGATGGAGAATAACTTTGAAGGGTCATTCCACCTCCAGAGCTCCTTGTGGGGTTGTCCCGGTGCCTTAGTATGCCTGCCTCATAGACCAGTTTTACCCTCAACCCAATTTCTTAATGTTGGACTGAGTCTCTTTACTACAGCATTGAATAAAAGAACCAGTGAAAAACATTATGTTTCATTCCTTTTATTTCACCCTTTGGTAGGACAGTTGTCAGTTTTTGTTGGAATGCTTTAGAGCTGTGTGATCCAATAGCCACATGTGGTTACTATCGCTTGAAATATGGTCACTCCAAACTTTGATGTGCTCTAAGTGCACCAGAAGTGAAAGAGTATGAAAAAAAAAATGCAAAACAACTCATTGATAGTTTTTGAAAATTTGGAAATTTGCTGAATAATATTTTGTATTGAGTTTAATTAAATATATTAATTTCATCTGTTTCTTTGTTTTGAACATTGGCTACTAGAAAGTTTAATATTGAAGACATTTTTATTCGAATTTATTTTTATGTGAATGAGTGTGGAAATTTCCTCAAATGCTTTTTCTGCATCTGTGTGATAATATTTTGCTTTCTTGCATTAATCAGTTAATGTAGTGAGTTACATTGACAGATTTTTCTAAAGGTCAGCCAGGTCTGCTCTCAAGTGATTTCACCCAACCTTATTAGATGCATATTTTTAAAATTTATTTTTAAAGATTTATTTATTTGAGAGAGAGAAAGAGGGAGAATGAACACGAGTGGGGGGAGAGGCAGAAGAAGAGGAAAAGAATCTCCAGCAGACTGCCCACTGAGTTCAGAGCCTCAGGGTGGGGCTAATCTCATGACCCTAAGATCACAATCTGTGCCAAAATCAAGAGTCGGACACTTAACTGACTGAGCCATCCAGGCATCTTTATATATATATTTTAAAAATAATGCAGGATTTGCCTGCTAATATTTTATTTAGGACTCATGACTCTGTTAATTAATAAGGTTGATGTATAACTTTCCTTTCTGATTCTTTGTCAGGTATTGGTATGAAGGTAACATTAGCCCACTAAAAAGATGAGTGAGTCTGATGAATTTCATGGCTAAGTTTTTGTTCAAGATTAAATTGCTTTAATTTGGTCATAGAACTCTCAATATTCTTCAATTTTACTTGTATTAATTTTGGTAATCTCAACCCTTTATTATTTATTTTTCTACATTCTTTGAGTTAATCTCTTATCCTTTTGAGAACTTCTTAGTCTAAAAACAACTAATTTCTCCTTTTCTAGTGAATGCATTTTTGCTAAAAATTTTCCTCTCATTAACACCTTATATGAATACCAGTTGAATGAAATTTTTCAATTTTTTTGTTTTATTTTATTGACTTGTTTTATTTCAACTTTTTATTATTTTAGCCACACGTTTATACGTAGTATTAGAAAAATCTATTAATTTCTGAAGGTACTAATCCTGATAGTTTTTCCACTGATTTTTATTCATAGCAGTTATTTTTCCTTCATGTATTTATAATTTTGGAGGGAGGCTCTTGCTTGGTGGGTCTTTGTCTCTGGGATTCCTCTGTGCCCTCTACTGAGGTCTTATCACTGGAGAAATATCTGTGTCGGTTTATGTCTGGTGTCCCATGTTAATACATTTTTAAGAGGGATGTTTTATTTCATATCATCTTCTCTACCTAGAGCAGGACAGACAAGTTCCCTGATTTCTCTCTATCCAGTTGCCAGATTTCGTTTTTAGAAACTAGCTCATTATTTTATACCATTAAACATAGCGACCAGTTCAATTTCTGTCCTTTGTGGGCCAAAGACTGTTCCACCAGCTCTCACTCTGAGAACCTTTGAATCTTCAAACATCCTGCCAACAGCCCCACAAAGAGAGCCACTTCTATGCTCTTTTTACAGATTCCTGTCATTTTGTCCCTCGGCAATTTTCTTTATTTTTGTGTCAACTCAGTTAATCCGTTAAAGGGTTGTTACAGGTTAGCCAGCATTTTTAAGTGTTTTGTTATAGTACATAGTCTGCCTTTTGCTCAAACCTTATTTGTTGATTCTCAGTGTACCTACTTTTCTGACTAACCTTTAAAACCACAGCCATGGCACCTGTTTTCTCTACAGGTTTCTAATATGGCTCTTAATTGTATGTTCAGCTTAGCTAGGCAAGATACTTGGTCAAATATGTCTGCGTGTCACTGGAGATATTTTTAGGTGACATTCACTTTAAATCAGTTGACTTTGGGAAAACTTTATCCTCCATGATGTGGGTAGACCTCATCCAATTAGAAGAAGACCTTAAGAAAAATACTGGTATTTCCCTAGCAAGAGACTGTCTTTGGACTCAAACTGCAATATCAGTTTTTCCTGGGCTCTCCAGCTTGATGGTGTACGTACAGATCTGGACTTGCCAGCCTCCAGAAAAATCTAAGCCAATTCCTGAAAATCAATCTCTTCCTTTCCTTCCTTCTTTGTCTGTATCTCTCTCTCTCTCTCTCTCTCTCTCTCTCTATATATATATATATATATATATATACACACACACATATATGCTCTCCAGAGAACCCTAATACAGTTCCACCCTACATTCAGCTTTCCTCTCTTAAATGCATGAAAACACAGTATGAGAGTAGAAGGTACTTATACCTTTCACAACTTTGCTGTTTTAACATTTTTTTGTCTCAGCATACTTCCCCAGGTCATAAAATTCCAGAGCTGATGGTCGAATCAAATGTTTAGTCCAGTTATCTGAATTCTGTCTCCCCAATTCTGAAAAAAAGTTTGTCTATTTTTCAGTCTCCTTCCTCTCTCATTTTGCTGACTTGTTCCATTCTCAACAGTCTAAGTATTTTCAGCTAGATATTTTATTAAAAATTTTTAAAGGCATCAAAAAAGCATGGGGGTGCTCAGTTGTATTTGTTATTCCTAGTGCAGATAGAATTATTCATGTACAAAAATACAGTAAAAAATCTAATTTGGATAAATCTTAGATCAACTATTAAAAAAAATCATAGCATAGCAGTAGTATCCCTCATATAGAAAGAACAACATATTCTGTTTACAAATATGTGTCAGTAAGTGTTGGGTAGTTCCCAGCCCTGTTCTACAGCTGATTTTACTTTCCTTTCTTCAAATATGCTGTAATTTATGCTTAAGGGGAACTGTGTTACTGGTTTTGAGATTAATTGTTAATAGTTACAGATTCCAACACAAATTTACCTGTCCTTATAGTGTCTTTGATTCTTTGACGATAATGGTAACATGTAAATGTTGTAAGGTTTTACAGGTGAGATACACAGGACACCAGGTGAGATAGGCGCAAGGCAAGGTTTACTAAAGGCACCCTCAGGCGAGGTTCTGGGACTCCGGAGAGGAGAGTCAGGGAAGTTGAGCCTGGGAAGCCATTGAGTGAGCTTTTATTGGGCCAAGGCAGGGCAGGGGCTCATATCCATATTTGGTAAGGTTAGAGGTTGGGAGTTGGAAAGTCCCAAAGTGACTGGTTTCTGTTTCTTGCATAAGTTTCAGTTTACTCAAGGTGACGTGTCCTTGACAGATGTCCTTCTGGCAGGAAAGTCCTAGGTAGGGGGAAGATGGCGGCCTGGTGGCCATTTTATTGTTCCTCCTGAATTCCCAGGGCCGCCAACCTAACAAATGTTATTTTAACTTCATTTATTAAGTGCAACTCTATCTTCCATGAAAAAATAGCTATATTATAAGCCACCAAATGTTGGCTCTATTTCTATTCACTGTCTCAGGATGTGTACAGTTTGACAGTGTTTTCACTTCAACTCTCTGAGTGACATCATTAAAGAAAGTAAGTTTTGGTTACTAATTTAACTCTTTTCTTTGCTCTTCCGTGTAGAACTTAAATTCTCACCAGAGACTGTAATGCACCAAATGGTATTTTTAAGGCTTGTGTATTGGTTACCATTAGCAAGCTATACTGATTAACTTTTTTTCCCAGTCCATACTCAGGGGTTAAAATATTCAACTTAGATTAGTCATGATTTAAAGCTAATTAAAAATCTTATTCATTTCCAGCTGGTGACCCAAGGCTGTCTCATCTTCAATGCTGGTTTCTTAAAATGGTAAGTGTTAGAACAGCTTGTGGTTAAATATCTTTTATAATATCTGACAGTTGTTTAGATAAACCAGGTTCTTTCCTTGGCCAAAGTCAAAGTACATTTAGATTGTTTAGGTAACTGAAGTGTAGAGATAAATGTAGAAAAACCTCTAAACAAACCAGTTGTGTCTTTTAAATGTACAGAGAAGAAATCCCAGGCCTCACATATTTGCAAAACCTTCAAATACCGGACAAATATTTTGTTTTCCAACTTTTTTTTTTTTTTTATGTTGCATAAGAATGAATTCTGACTACTGTTCTCACAGAATCAATACATAGTGACCCCTCCAGCTGTTTGCACAAAGATTAAAGACAAAACAAACAAACAAAAATGCACCTCCCTGACTCAATTGCTTTCTTTATGCTTGAAGCACCTCAGTGCTAAAAGTCAGGGCAGTTTATATCAGTGAAACGTGGAGGTAGAATAGCATTTCTCAATCCATATGGTTTAATCCCTTTTTTTTGTGAATCTGCCAAATGTATCAGGGCTTCAGAGTGTAACCAAGAGGAGGGGAAAAGTATCTTATATTTGAAAAGCAATAACAGAACAGTGGGGAGCTCTCTTTTTTTCTCAGTTACTTTGTAACCTGATGAGCTCTAAGAATTTGTCAAGATTTCACTGACTACACAAGCCCTAAATATTCCCTGCTTCTTTTTCTTGAAGGGATTTGGTGAATACTAAATTTTTATTTTGAAATATAATTTGGAGATAGCATGTCATATCTATTTTTTTTAAGATTTTATTTATTTATTTGACAGAGAGAGACACAGCGAGGGAGGGAACACAAGCAGGGTGAATGGGAGAGGGAGAGGCAGGCTTCCTGCTGAACAGAGAGCCCAATGCAGGGCTTGATCCCAGGACCCTGGGATGATGACTAACCAGAGCCCAAGACAGACGCTCAATGACTGAGCCACCCAGGCGCCCCGATGTCATGTCTATTCATTCAAATTTCTCTGTGAGGTGTTTTCCCTGGGACCTTGCTGTGAAAGTCTGCCACATATGATATCTAATCTTGCATACACCTCTTTGGGATCGTATAGAATTGTAGGATTTCAGAGAAGAAAAGGAGCACAGTGAATTAACTCAACTCCTAAAATTACATGAGGAAACTGAGATCCTGACAGTCTGGGTTAGGGACTCAAGGCTAACCAGGGGAAGAGCTGGGGAAACAAGGGAGACCTTCAGAAACAACCACTGAATCAATGAGTAAAAAAATGCATCAGTGAAACTTAATGCACCTGAAAACCAGTGTTCTGGGTTTGTTCTGCTTTCAGGATTCCATGTTGCCTCCTATGGAAATCATGTCCATTTCAACCTTCATTCTTCAGCAGAGTAGGATTTTAAGAAATATTGAATTAAAACCCAGAAGTTAGTTAAATTCATAAATGAAGGTTCTAATGCATTTCATTTCTAATATTGGCCTTTAATATTTTCAGAATTTTATAGCTCCTTGTAAGTGTGTGTTAGAAATGCGGCTATCTTTGGTAGATATACTGGTTTTGATAATCCATATGACCATTTATTTTTAAAGCCCTTCCTTAAAATGCCTTAATTTTTACCATCCTTTCTAATACAAGATAATATAGAAGGGAAATAAGCATACTTTGTGCATTTTTGAAATTGTATATCACTTTTATACATAGTGCAAATATAACAATACCAGCTCATTGGAAGAAAAAAAAAAAACATGGAAGAAAATGCATCTTATTTTGGAAGAAGAAAGAACTAAAGAACTATATTTAGATATAACATGTAACAACAGTTACGGTTTGAGGAGTCTTCTCAAACATTGGTTCGTTAGATCTCATCATCTTCAATTTTTATTTTAAAGGGTCTTCACCTATTAAAGCTCCGATAAAATGCAGGAAAGTGCACTACTCCCATTACTACCTGGTTACACTGCCATGACTAGTACTAATACTACCTGCAGTGTTCCTATCGTCATTTATTGAAATCTTACCATAGCAGGCCCTGCTCAAAGGGCTTTCCATGTAATAACATATTTACTCATCACAGTCATGCTCTGGAGTGTTTTTATCTCGACTCTCCAGATGAAGGAACCAGCCGTCTAAGGCGTTTAGTGATTTTTCCCGGTCACCCAACTGCTAAAACAGGCGAGTTCGGTTCAAACCCTGGCACAGTCTCGTGTTAGTTTCAGCAGCAAAGCAGAACCGCTGTGAGTAACGCTGGACACAGAAGCATTGCGGTGAGTAGCCCCGGTGCCGTCCGACCGCGGGTCAAAGCGTCCACCTAAGGCTGCCGTTCCTGCAACTAGTCTTAGACTTGGAAGGACCAACACCAGGAAGGAAAGTGGAAGGGCAAACCGGCGCCCCCGCCCATCTCGCCCTGGCCTCAGCCCTGAGCACCGTCAGCCGCTGCCCTTCGCTTGAGCTGCAGACACCTGCTCACCCCGGCATGGCAAGACGGAAGGGGGCTGTCCGTCGGATCTCCCCAGAGAATCAGAGCAGGTAGGATAGAGAGAGAGAGAGACGTAAGCGGAGATTCATTAGAGGAATTGACTCGCGTGATTATGGAGGCAGAGAAGTCACCGCATCTGTTGACCTGTGGGCAAGGGGGAGCCCCAGGAATGCCTGTGGCGGGATCCAGGCTGAGTTCGAAGGCCTGAGAGCCAGGGGAGCCAGTGGCGCAGCTCCCAGTCCCAGTGCACAGGCTCAGGCGCTGGGAGGGGTGGGGTCTCGTGTCAGTGGCTGCTGAGTCCGAAGGTTCGAAGGTTCAAGAACCAGGAGCCCCTGTCCGTGCGGGGGGCTGGGAAAGATGCGAGTCCCGTTTCAAGCAAAACAAGCCAGTGCCCCTTCCCTCGGCCTTTCTGTTCGACGGGAGCCCTCGGTGGCGTGGATAAGGCCACTCGCATGGCTGAGGGCAGTCTTCCTTTCTCAGCCTGCAAGTTCAAAGCCCGTCTCTTCCAGAAACACCTGCACAAACACACCTGAAATAACGTGGGACAGGCTGTCGGGCATCCCACAGCCCAGTTCGAGTGGACGCGGAAAATGAACCAGCACAGAGGCTCTCCGGAGGGGGCCAGTGCTGGCCATGGCCAGCTGCGGTGCCATGCTAATTAAGCCACACCTGGGACAGGTAGGAAAGAGGCGGGCCTGATGCGAGGTCCCCACCTCAGAGTTTGAGGCCGGCACGAGGAATGGCGTTCTGGGAAAGACAGCTCAGATTACAATCGGACCAAGTACATGTTTGCCATGTTCCACTGGACTGTACTTCCTCTCACTAAAGTATCATTAATTATGTTTAACTTCTTGTGAATGCAAGCACCAGAAACTTTTTTGGTCTTAGTTAATTTTACAAAGGTCTTGATCAAGAGAGGTGATGCTGTTTGTGCAAGAAAACGAACTGGAAAAGAAAATTAGGTGCCAAAATCAAGAAAAATTATTGAAAAAGTAAAAAAAAAAATTAAAAGGGAAAATTTTCTTTCTATAATATTCCTGAGGCTGGTTCTACCAAGGAAAATATATTTCTCAAATTTCTTTTGTGGGAATTATGAGATCATCTCTTATTTATATACAATTGGATGCTCACCATTTTCTGAAAACAAAATGTAGATATTACATAGAATATTTTTTTTAAAGATATATTCATTTATTTATTTGAGAGAGAGAATGAGAGAGAGCATGAGAGGGGAGAGGTCAGAGGGAGAAACAGACACCCTGCTGAGCAAGGAGCCCGGTGTGGGACTTGATACCTGGGACTCCAGGATCATGAGCCAAAGGCAGTTGCTTACCCTACTGAGCCACCCAGGAGCCCCAAGGAATATTTTATTTAAGCCAATACAGTAGGTAAATACCCAACAAAACCTTCTGGCTGGACACATTAAAAATTCTGGATAAAGCACATAGAAAATTATTTTTTAGTGCAAAAATGATGTGGTATGAAATTGAGGAATATCAGATGCCAAATGATAATTGAAAAAGGAAACCAGAAAAGATGTGCAATGCCACGAAATGGGAAGAAACGAGGAATAAAGTTACCATGGGTGAAATCTAGCAGAAGCGAGTCCTCAAATATGATATGTGCTGGAATTAACAACAATAAAACATGACATTTGAGAATTTAAATGATTAAATCAATGAGAGAAAGGATTAAATATGTGAATCTTGGCCATTTGTTATTCTTTATGATAAATTTAGAAATAAGGCTGTTACACTTCTAGAAATGAAAAATGTAATACCATAATTATGTAAAAATTAGGATAACTTAAGAACATTAAATACTGCTAGATAAAAGTTTATTGAATTGGAAAAGAAAACAAATTATCAATTATAGAAAGTCAAATAGGTAGAAATGATGAAGGCTGGTGAAACTAAGATAAAATCTAAAGAATTCAAAGTATTCTAGAAGGAATGATAGAGAGAACAACCACTATAATCAGTTAGAGGGAAACCAACTAAACATTTTCTATAGCTAATGAAAGATTTCAACCAAGCAAAAGTATTATTATTTCTAGAGAACCAACTGAGGGCTTTGTTAATTTCAATTATTGTTTCTTTTCTGCATTTTGTTAGCCTGCTATTCTCTGAATTGTCTCCTTCCATCTGTATTTCAATAACATTTCAATCCATTCTTTCATCCTCTCTCCTTCATTCTCCATGGGTCACTCTAGCTTCTTGTGAGATGCAGTCTTTCTGAATTTTGTAAAGTATTTCCTTTTTACTCAGAGTAAGTGCTAACGTTCTTATCCTGATCTTCAAAGCCCTGCACAATCCAGTCTTAGCCTGTTGCTTGTTACCTTTTTGACCTGATCCTGTAACCACTATTTTTCCTGGCTTCCTTTCTTAGGCCACACTGGCCAACTCCCAGCTTCTCCACACATGCCTGCCATAGGCTTTGCTCTTACTATTTTTTCTGCCTGGAACCCACTTTTCATATATATATATATATATATATATATATATATATATATATATATAACCTTCTTCACTTCCTTCTGGTCTCCTAACTTGTTTCACTTCATAGCACATATCAACTGCTAACATTACATATTTTCATAGTTGTTAAAAACTATTCCCTCCCTATGGTAAATTATCTCTTCCCATGAATGGGACATTTCTTGTTTTATCCAATGTTGTATTCCGAATGCCTAGGCAATTCTTGGCAAATATTATTCGCTCATATGAATATTTAATTAATGAATACAAGAACAAATGAATATATGGAAATAAAAAGGTCTCAAAGGTTTTTGAACTGAAATTGTGCTGCTAACTGGATTTCTCAAAATTGAAGAGTGCCATTTTCTTCAGTTACATTATGAAATGGCCAGGCAGCAGGGGAACCATGGAGGTGAGCTAATTGCACTGAGTTTTATAATGACCTTTAAGGAAGGCAATGGTAAAAATACAGAATGATACTTTAAGATTACCTTGAAGTTACCATCTGCTTCGAACAATTTCTACATGGTAGTACTTATGCTTTTTTAATATCCCATAAATTATAATTGTGGGGAAGTCTCTCTTTCTCTCCACTGAAACTGAGATAATTGCTGTTCTTCTATTTAATAAGCAGACTGCATCCGGACATTATAGGTGAACTTCATACTTGCTTGACTGTAGGATTCAAGGATATTGATTTTGGCCTATGTAACAGTTAAATCCCTGGTTACTTCAGAGATTACTTACTTACCTTCATGATAGCCACGTTTGGAGAAGGGGGATCAATAGGGCACTCCTGCTCGAGTTGAACTTCTGCCATTTTCCCCAAAGGACACACATATCTGGAACTCATTTCCTCTTCATTACAACAAAGCCAAGGTCCTTGCCCTTTGGGGAACTACTCAATATTAATTTGTTTAGTTAAGCTTTTACCTAACTGATGAGGTGGAAAAGAGTAATTGAATTGGTAGCAAATTGTAATACATACTCATTTTGCTGTACTTCTGAACATATTCTTATATTTCTATCACAGAATTCCATTTTATTAGTTAAATTTAACAGTGATGACTACTCACTATTTCCCTAAAATCTGCTGTGCATTTATTTGCCTTTTCTAAAATTCTATTTTTGAAATATCCTGTACAGATTTAATAAGGAAGAACTACATTCAAACATACATTTGAGTATAACATGGGAATGTTTATCCACTTATTGTCGTTAAGAGTCTGACAGGACAAGATTGTTCTATAAAAAATGGCAGAGCTGCCCCCCCAAACATAGTCATATTTTAGTACTTCACTATATTTAAAAATATAGGAACCAAAGTGATATTATTTCAGTATAAAAAAAACTAAATATGTGACCAAACATGATTTTATTCAAAAATACTTTATTAGACACATAAGGAAAGCACTTTATTACTTGTCTATTACATAAATGGAATTGGAAAAATAAAATTTGTTAAACTTGTAGATTTCACAGATGTAAATGTATTTGAGTGGATTACTGGAATACACAATTTTAGAACCAATGTTAAAAAATGCTGTTTGACTCTGTTTCCATTAAGAAAAAATACTGTAAATGTTTTTTCCATATACTTTACAATAAACGCTTCAAAGTGAATCATGTGCTTTAAACATTTAAATTAATAGGGTGAAAAAATTAATAGGTTGAAGCTTTCAGTTTATCTGATGCAATGGTATTTTATGGATAATGGCGTGTCTCCATACCTTCTGTTTGTTGTAACACAAATGTCCAAAGAGCTGTGCTCCTTCCTTTGCTTTGCTTTAAGATGAATATCAAAGGAGCTGTCTTTCAATAAGGTCTTATTAAATTCAGTTGAAGTAAAAACTAATGATGTCCTGCTCAACTGTAAAACAAACAAAACAAACAAAACAATCCTTGACAGACACGCCATGGCTATAGAGTATTGTCTTCTTTTGCCAACCCTTGACAGAAAAATTATGCCCAGAATTTTGAAAATCTTGCAAGGGGCTTCCTGGGTACCTAAAGAATAATGTCCAAGAACTGGGCAAGCCCAATGGCATACATGACTGAATCATATTTACTTAAACCGGAACATTTCTGCATCCCTTTTCCCCAAGCTGAATAACTCTTACCACACAATGGGCACCAGGGACCCCGGGTCTGCAGTTTAGATGCCATCTGCGAGGCAGCTGAAAGTGGCTGAGCCTTCCTTTGTTGTGCTTATATGATGTTATGCCTTAGTTAATAACTGGGAATTCAGGTTAAAAAGAAAGATGAATCCCTCTGATGTCATTCTCTTTATTGTGTCTGCAGATCTGTGCCCCACCACCCACCAGGCTTTCCCTGACTGACCCGTGTTTACCTTCTGTCGGTGCCACTTCCCACTGGGTTATTGATGTGCTTCTCTGCCCAGGAAGCCAGCTCTCTCAATGTACTTTGTTAAGCTGACACCAGGGCACACACAGGCTTTTGTTGTACTGTGAAGGCGAAGAAGAATGTTTGTGGACGGGGATGCTGAATATCTCAGTTAAACTCTTCTTAGAGAGGCGGGAGAGACAGACAGACATCTGATTACACATTCTCCTTATTCAGATGACACCTGAAAGCCTATTCTGTTCCCAAGGAAGGCAAAGTTCAATTCTTCCCTCTGATTAGGAGCCCTTTTGTTTAATATGTGACTGGTGGCTTAAGACAGCTCCCAAAGTAAAAACAAACCTGTGTTGATTAATCAACAGCAAATGAAAACTTAGATTATGACTTGTTTGTGTTTCCTGACTTTCAGGAACAGTCATCACTGTTAAATTCCTGACTTTCCTGAGAATGTTGCTCTCGGCTTTTTCTAGATTTAGTTGGGGTTTATCCAATTTGCCTAAAATCACTCTTTGTCCCTTTTTGTTTCTTGTAGGAGCAAAAAAAAAAAAAAAAAAAAAAAAAAAAAAAAAAAAAAAAAAAAAAATCAAATATCATCATGGAAATTGGTTACATATTTTAGAAAAATTTAGAAAGTGTTACTGACTACATGAAAATGTTCTTTCCCAAAATATGAGTATTCATTTCTGTCATTTTCACTATTTTATACTCCCCACACAAAGCCTAGATTTAAAGAAAACAAAAATATCTTCATCATGGAGTTGCTCAGTTTTTTAAAAAATTCTATGTAAAAAAGTCTTTACTATAACCGGTTAACATTTGACTAGGTTTATTAATATTATGCATTATGTAGCAAATATGAACACAAAATGGAAGATGCTTACACAAAATATAGGGGAATAAACACTATGGTTTGTAAAAATCTAAACATGACACTAAGTCTTCTGACCAAATATAGATGTATTCTCTTTCATGTTCAATTTCTTTATCTATAAAATCATTGGATTTAATAATATTGACTGTAATGCATTGCTTAGCTGTAAAACATGCAACAAAATACAACAGACAGTATTTATAAATCAGAAAATAAAAGTAAAAATTATTATTCGCAGTCTAAACATGGTTCATCATTTCTCTTGTTATTGATATTCTGGTTTTCAGAAATGTTGTGCTAATCATCCATCAATCTACTTGTTTGCAGTCACAAGGTAATGTGTTTCGGACTGCAGAGTTTCTATGATTTGTGCATGTTGCTTCTGTAGTTCATTGAGAATACTTATACTTTAAGACATACAGTGTACTTATTTTGAAGTTTATGTTTTTATACCTTTGGTTAACTCAGACTCGGCCTAAAGATACAAAGTGGATAACTGAGTTGTTCCCCTCCTATATGAAACTGAATGGTGGTGTTAGACATAACACCTAATTGGGATTGTGAATTATTTGATGACTGCCTTGATTCCCTTATTTCCATGTGGAGTTGTGCTAATGAGTAGTTAAATTTTAAATCATAAAAGACTCAGGGAGTATGTATAACTTCTATGTAATGTGTAAAGTTGTAATCTCTGTCCAAGAAGACTTAGAAGTGCTTGGCTATTCATGAAAGCAATCTAAAGGTTCTCCATTTGGTTCTTTAGGATTCCATGTAGATGTTCATGGGGAGGGGGAATTGAAGTAAAGTACCATAGTACAGGTTCCTTAGAAAACAAAACATTAAATTTTTACCAAAGTCTATTCCATCTGCCTTTGTCTACTGAAGTCCTTGGCACTGAGTTATAGATGTATCCTATACAAGTATGTGTATATATATGTGTGTGTGTGTATATATATATATATATATATACATATATATATATATATTTCCTGATGTGGGAAACAAGGGCAGAAGAAAAACTATTAAATTTCCTTACTACCTACAGCCCACTGACAAGTCCTTGAAACAGGCAGAGTTACATTCCTCTAGGGACTCAACTGCCTTGATGCTAGTACTTTGCTAAGGGCAAAAGGCAACCTTAGCCTGACCCCAGGATCCTGTAAGTCTAATTTAACATATAAAAATTCCTTTAGAAATTTCCTTTATCTCTAAACCACCCAAGATATGTGTTGGCGGTCATCTCCCAAGCATATGGCCCACCGATATATATCTGAAGGGTTTCATGACTAAGGTTTTATTAGACAGTAATAAACGACCTTTTCCCAACAATAGTTAGCCTCCTCAAGGTCCTGGAAGCCTTGCTTCCCAAATTCCTTAGAGACTTACGTTATCCCTAGCCCCCTCCCAACTTGAAAGTATGTAAATGGACACTCCTCTTGATCCCAGTGGAGGTCTTTCTGCCATGGGTTCTATCCCCATCTATTAATAAAACCACCTCCCTGCACCAAAGACGTCTTAATAATTCTTTCTTAGCCAGTGGCTTTGAAACCCAATGTTCTTTCCTACATCATTTCCTATTTCTGTAAGAGACATAATCTAATAAGAACAGAGTTTTCTAAGCAAAATATTATTTTGTTACAAATAATAACTTAGTAAAGACATTTTTCTTTATGAGGACATTTTTCTTTGTAAATACATCCATATCAGAATGATTTTTTTCATTTATCTTCAGATGGAAAAGAGCAAACAGTGATAAAAGTGTTGTTAAAGAAATGGTTGAGGGTACTTTGCAAATATGTAGAATATTTCCTAATGGAATTGTTCATAGAAAGTGAAACTAAATTACATTAATGGATATGAGGATCGGGGGTAATAAACAATATGGAAATTAGCTTCTTTAGAAAATATGCTTTTTATGATTTGTCATTACAGATTAAAATTTGAATTTTTCACTTTAACTTTGTTTTGTTAATTAGGCTTCTAGCACCATATATGTAGCTTATATATGCATACATATTAAGCTATTTATATATAAACTATTTTATATATATTTGTAAACTATTTTTATATAATTACATGTAGTTTAAATCATCTGCTTGATTAGATATAATTTTTATAATTTTGAGTAACTAAATGAAAATTATCTTCACAACTCAGAGTTTTGCCATCTGGAGATTAATATTAATTATTATCCTACCATTTGCAATTTATGTGTGTTTGAGAAGTTTCACTTCCTTTTCAATAATGTGCTGAATTCTAAAGCAGAATTTTTGCAGAAAATTGAAGCCAGAAAAAGAAGGTAGAAGAGAAAACTTCAAGTTATATTCAAAACCTTTCGAGCTAGAGCCATAAGGCAACAAAATAAGGTGCCGCTTCCCCTGTCTGCATTGTTTGGATGAAATAAATTGTTTTCTTGAACTGACCTCAGACCATTCTCTTGTTTCTCCAATTTCTCTTCTTGTGCGATGATGGCCTCCCTGTTGCTTAGATGAGAATGGAAATAATTGTATCATCCAAATTTTGAAGGGTTATTATCGGTACCACCTTATAACTATTAGTTAAAATTTATTTTACCACTGATGAGATACAATGTTTACAAATCCTCTAAGGACAAATATGTTATTTGTAGTATAGTCAAAACTGCCTTATTAGTGTAGTAGCTTGAACTTAATTATGATGGATAATAAGACCTTAGAAATAACTCATTTTTGTTTGTTTAATAACTTGTGTCCTCTTAACAGATTAGATTAGATTGAACAAAAATACCCCCCAAATAATTCCTATTGGTAAAGGAGTGTTTCTAGACAAAGAGAGCATCTCTAAACTTTCAGAACATTTAATAAATGCCAATAGATAAAACATCCTCACAACCGTATTGTCCTAAAAATATACTTTCAACTAAGTATACGTTTCCAATCCTAAATAATAGAAACTTACACACAAAGAGACCAAACTTCATGGTCAATCCATGTATCTCAATACATGCATGGATTACTTTTTACAAAGATGTTGGAATGAACAGTTTTGTTCCGACATTGGTATGTACTTCCCAAAACATAGAAAAAGTCCCGTTCAGGGGAATTAAAATAGCTTGAACTTTGGAATAATAAGCCAACTGATTTCCAGATGAGTTTCTGCCCCAAAAAAGTAAATGTCCATCTCACTGTTTTCCAAGAGTACAAGATACGTCTGCAAATGACATGCTGCAGGATGTCATCCCAGTGAAGCTTCAGACTCAGAGCTGGGCCCTATCAATGTTCATCTTATTATATTTCAACGTAAATGAATATATTTTCTATGTAGAATCAAAAAGTAAGGTTCAAATATACCACAAGTTACGAAAAGAGAGATATTTTAAATGTGACCATTATGGAAAATATGACTAATCCAGTGCATTTCCATTTGAAAGAGAAATGACTAATAATTGATTGGCCTGAATCCAAAGTCACAGTGGGGTTCAAAAAGCTGGTAAGTGGCCTCATAAAAATAGAAGCTGTATCAACCAATTGAATTTAATTATATATGAAGGTGATGATGGCGCTAAACGGCCTGTAATTGGAGTCCAATTACTCAGCTGGCCTTCCATAAAATTAATTCATCTGAAAGTTTGCCATTGTCCTGTGCTCCAGGTCTGCCGCTGGTCTAATTAGTTAACACTGAGGAATCTTGAAACAGTAAATTATTTTGTCTTTATTGCCAATTACTGGTTAACGAAAATTGTATATAAAATATTAACATCTGCTACCAGTACAAAGAGGAAAGGGCAGAGTGAAGACCCTTTTTTGGTTTTGTTTTGTTTTCCACGTAGAAGTTGCTGGAACAGAGGAGGGTAAGCCTTCCCATGCACTTAGACTTCTGTAAGAGAAATTTGAACTTATCAGCTATTAAATATGCTGCCACGGCTTATACTATTCCATGGGCACTGATTTTATAAATCTGATGCTTGAGGACCCTCATGGTGTACACATGTAAAAATTAAGTTTAACATCAATGGGGGAAAAAATCATAGGTAGAGAACATTCCTGAAGCAATTCCCTTTCAGGGCTTTAAATTACTTTGAGCAATATTTGATAATGCGTTAGCATAATTTAAAAATGATATTGGCTGACTCATGAGGTTTGATAAAATACTCTATATTAGATTTTTCACAATTACCTGATTGCACATTAGGTTAATCGTTGAGCAGTTGAAACTATTGAAAAAATTGATCAAATGGCTTAAAAACCCATGCCTCATTATTGTTCTTAATGTGACAAAATGAAATACATCATCAATTGTGCTGAAAAATATGGACACCCTTCCAAAGCTGTTATGTATTGATAATACATAGATACAGCTCATTTCCACTTAATAGACTGCATCACATTGTACCTTCACTTAGGAAGAATCACAGTTCACAATACTGTTTAATTCCATGAGCAGTAACTAATTCAAAATGAAATGTAAGTGGAAATATGTAATAATTAAAAAAAAGTATATTATAAAATGTTGACCTAAGAGGTATCACAAGAGAATTGGTCTGATTAGGCCAAAAATAAAATAATCTCTTTAAAAGTTGTAGTGGAGCAAACATTACAGTTCTCTGTACATAAACCCCTCCTTATGTAGGAAAATGAAAAATTCGATTGCATAAAGGTGAAAAACATATTTTATATATCTTCTTTCTG